GAGACATGTTTGTTGTCCTGGAGGACAAAGACATGTTTGTTGTCCTGGAGGACAAAGACATGTTTGTGGTCCTGGTGGACAGAGACATGTTGTGGTCCTGGAGGACAGAGACATGTTTGTTGTCCTGGAGGACAAAGACATGTTTGTTGTCCTGGAGGACAAAGACATGTTTGTGGTCCTGGAGGACAGAGACATGTTTGTGGTCCTGTAGTCAGTGGTTGGTGGTCTGAGGTGGTCCAGTTAAGTCAGGGCTCTAAACAGAGTCTTGGTTCTGGTTCTGACCTGTATGTCAGGTCCGTTTTGTCCCAGCGTCCTCCAAACAGAGCGAACCTCTTCTGGCGCTGCTTCGTCACTGGATCATCAGGGACGCCACAGTGGGGACGGGCCCAGAACTCAGTCCTATTTCTGGGTCCCAGAGTGGACTTTAACTGGTCCTGTTGGTTCTTCAGGAGAACCTGAGGGTTCTGAGGCGGTCCCTGCAAACACAGCAAAGACCTCAGGCTTTTATTTTGAAATAAAAGACTAAAGACAATAAGATTGGAGCAGAGGTTCTGAGGCTCTGAGTGAAATGATTTCTGTTAAAGTGGGGGTGGAGCTAAATTAATTCTGTTAAAGGTCCAGGAACCTGGATTAAGTTAATCTGTAGCTGATGAGGCCAATAGAGAAGAATAGTTGGAGGTTATGGATGGATTTTGCTGGTAAACTGAACAGCAGGGAGTTACAATAATCCAGATGTGACCAACGGCTGGATGAGAGGGATGGACGGAGACGAGCAACGTTCCAGAGGTGAAGGTAGGCTGAACGAGTGATGTTACTGATGTAGGARGACACCCAGACTCTTTACCTGAGGATGTTCAGGTGTCACTCAGATTAGAACAGCTGTTGGTTTTTGTAAGACTGGATTCAGTTCCACTGAGAAGAAACTCTGTTTTGTCGATGCTTAGTTTAAGAAAGTTGCTTTGTGAACCAGGATGACAGACAGGTGATGATGTCAGACAGGTGATGATGACAGACAGGTGATGATGACAGACAGGTGATGATGTCAGACAGGTGATGATGACAGACAGGTGATGATGACAGACAGGTAATGAGGTGCTCAGACTCACACTCCTCCTCAGAGTCTGAAGCTTTGTTGCTGTTTTGCTGAGCAGACGTTCAGAGGACAGCTGTCCCTCATTATCTCWGACTGCTGGTCCAGTTCTGGCCCAGAACTGCTGACTGAGCTACATGAGACTGAACACCTCAGACACGCTCCACTAAAACCAGACTCCAGACAGGAACCAGAAAACACCTCATCTGGTCCTGAGCAGGACTGAAGACGAGTCAGTGTTTAACACAGGTACAGATCAGCAAGTCATCAGCAAAAAGCTCAGACACTGATGAAGTTTATGTTTTTATTTAACCTTTACTTCATCAGGAAAAACATTAAGAAGTTTCTTATTTACAATGTTGGCCTGAAAGGTCAAAGTTCAGTTAGAACTACGTGGAGGTAAAGATGGATGGATGATTGATGGATGGATGATGGTTGGATGATGTTGGATGATGGATGGATGATGGTTGGATGATGATTGGATGATGGATGGTTGGATGATGGTTGGATGATGATTGGATGATGTTGGATGATGGTTGGATGATGGTTGGATGATGTTAGATGATGGATGGATGGATGATGGTTGGATGGATGATGATGTTGGATGATGGATGGTTGGATGATGGTTGGATGATGATTGGATGATGTTGGATGATGGATGGTTGAATGATGGTTGGATGATGTTGGGTGATGGTTGGATGATGGTTGGATGGTCCAGGTGAGGCTCAGATCATCAGATTTAAAAATTGTGTTTTTAGTTTTTTAAGACTTTTAATTTGAAATGAAAACCTTTTTTATTTTGATGAAAAACTACAGTTTTTTTGAAAAAACAAACTGCACAAAGATGAACTCTGTGGGTTTTGTGTTTCGTAGTAAACATGTTTGTTCTGAGCTTCTGTTAGAATAAAAGTATTAATCTGAACAGGTTTAATCCCAGTTAATCTCAGGGTTCTCTCCACCCAGTATCACTGGGATTAAATGTCTTTCTGAGAAGAAGGTCAGGGTTAGGCTGAAACAGGATTCTGTTGGACCTGATCTCTGCAGAACAACTCAAGGTCTGAAGGTCTGAAGGTGGACCAGGTCCAACACAACCAGCTGATGGGTTCACCCTCACATGAAGCACAGTGGACCCGGGTCCAGTGGACTGGACTCAGATCTTAGGATCTTTTAAAGTTTTTGTCTCTGGGGTTCAGGTTCAGGTTCAGGTTCAGGTTCAGGTTCAGGTTTAGTTTCCTCTGCTCAGATTTAAAGATGTTTAAATGTTTTTATTTCTTTATTTATAACTTTATTTTAATTCTCTGCAGATCAGGACATGTTTGTGTCCTCTTTCCCCTGTCCCCTCTGTCCTCTGTCCTCTCTGTCCTCTGTGTCCTCTGTGTCCTCTGTGTCCTCTGTCCTCTCTGTCCTCTGTCCTCTCTGTCCTCTCTGTCCTCAAGTGTCAAAGCTTAATGTGGACCCTGAAGACTCTGTGGACCCTGAAGACTCTGAGGACCCTGTGGACCCTGTGGACTCTGTGGACCCTGTGGACCCTGTGGACCCTGAAGACTCTGTGGACCCTGTGGACCCTGAAGACTCTGTGGACCCTGTGGACCCTGAAGACTCTGTGGACCCTGTGGACCCTGTGGACCCTGAAGACTCTGTGGACCCTGAAGACTCTGAGGACCCTGTGGACCCTGAAGACTCTGAGGACCCTATGGACCCTGTGGACTCTGTGAACACTGAAGACTGCTGACCCTGAAGACCCTGTGGACCCTGAAGACTCTGTGGACCCTGTGGACCCTGAAGACTCCGTGGACCCTTTAGAGGACTAAATATAAAGTCTTTTGTTGAGTTAAATAAAACGAGGTCTGAGGACAACCCGTCCCAGGTCTAGGAGGTCCTGCAGAGTCCTGGACATGTCTCCACAGGTCCTACAGAATAAATCAGGTAAACAGGTGGGTCATTGTAGTCTGCAGCAGTGGGTTGTGGGTCTGAGGAGGTTCTGGTTCTGGGACAGGTCTGGACCTGCAGGATCAGCAGCAGATGTTTGGAAACCCCCGACTCATGGCTGACGTCAGACCATCAGGCCCAGATCAAAGGTTCTGACGGGTCATTTAGAAGAAAGAGGAGAACTGCTTTCAGATAAAAAACAAAACATCTGGTCCTGGTCCTGGTCCTGGTCCTGGTTCTATAAATACCTGAGATAAGACCGGTCCGATCCGGTCCGATCTGCCTCAACAGGCCGAGACCGAAACAAACGAAGTGGAAAGAATCTGAAACCACAGAGAGGTCCACAGAGCACCAGGATTAAGACTTCTGCACACAGACTCACGACTCAGATCCTTTCAGAACCAGGACAAGTTCTGTTCTGGTCCAAACAAGACCGGCTGGTCCTGATCCAGATCCTGGTCTCTGTTGTTCAGGGTTTATAAAAAAACTGCAGAATTGAACAAAAATCTTGACAGAAACTGAAGAAAATGTACTGAACCTTCGGCTGTTTTAGCTGAGGGTTCAGTAACATGTCAAACCTTCGGCTGTTTTAGCTGAGGGTTCAGTAACATGTCAAACCTTCGGCTGTTTTAGCTGAGGGTTCAGTAACATGTCAGACCTTCGGCTGTTTTAGCTGAGGGTTCAGTAACATGTCAAACCTTCAGCTGTTTTAGCTGAGGGTTCAGT